AGTCAGAGCTGGGGTCTAGAACAATCTGGCAGCGTCCTTGTGGGAGGACGCTGCCTAAATAGAGGTGAACACAGGTGCAGGATAATAAGGAGCAGGTGAAACTAATCTGAGTAAGGAAGAAAGTAAAAAGACCTAAGCTATGGTGAAACAAAACAGGAAGTAGAATCAAAATAAAAGCCTGACAGAAAACAGTGGAACCGAATCGTGACAGGTTGTATTAAAAAAACAGAACATCTGGCAGCTGGGGTGCCTAAAAACATGTAAAAACACTAGAATATTGTGGGTAAATATTGTCATTTAATGAAAGCCAAGAATGGTGACTTAAGCATTGAACCCCCACCCCCATTAGGAGCAGACGGAGATGGGGAAACAGTTTAAAGCCAGGTAAGCATATATCAGTTACCCACTCCCAGACCAGGCTGGGAGTGGGTAACTGATGAGATTGGTGACAAACACAGTTCATGCATGAGGCTCAGAAATGCGGGTCAATGGCAGAAACAGGTAGGTAACAGACAGGAAACCAAGAAGCAGAGGATGAGCTAGCAGACACGCTGGCTGGAGACTCTTTAGTGGAACTGATATGAACTGAGTGAATGCAGAGCTTTTTTTTACCGTGTATTGCCTGTTATTTAAAGGCACTAACTGTGCTATGTCACATTTTTGCTTGGTTTTTAGCATTTTGTTTTCATTAAACAACCCAAACATTCCTCATAGGGAAAAGCATTAGCTATGGAAGAACAGCAACTCAAAAAAAAGTATTGATTTGTATAATGATTCCCTGTGCTTTGTCACAAGCTTTTACTTTGGTACAGCATTTTGACACTGCTGCTCAGTCAATGCCCTGTTTCCCATATAGGTAATCAGCAAGCCAGCACATAAGCCAGCTTTCTCCATTTGATCAGTTGATGACAGTTCCCGTAGAGATTCCCCAGCCCCAGTCTGCTCATCCTCTTGCTTGTTCAAATCATTGTAGATTTATGGTATTTTTCAAATTGTTTATTAACAGGCCAATATGGAATCTGCAGATTTTTTTTTAAAGTTTTCTGTGATTAGTCAGGATGCATTAAATCAACTAAAATAATCTTGAGCAGAGTGAAAAAGATAATTTTTGTTTAGATGCTGTAAAGCATCCACACTATGCTCTCCTGTTCTTTTATTATTATTATTATTGTGTGGATGCTGTAAAGCATCTTCCACCCTTTTTTGGCACTTTATAAGTCCAGCATACTTTCAGCTATACAGGCCATTGAGGTCTTCATCTGTTCAACTCTTCAGGGACATCCCCTGCTTGTACTCAACTTTTTTATAACATTTATACTTTTTAATTGATTCAGCTTTATATTTTGCAATACAAGTCAATGGGAGCTCAAAGTGCTGAGTCAATGACACAGTCTTGGAGAGCCATCTGGTGGTTCATAAAATGCAGCGCAATTGGGACATGCCCATACATAACTCCTCTCTCTGTCTCTCTCCCCCTCTCTCGCACACATGTTCACACCTACTTGTTTTACCTCCTCTGTGGGGTCCAGTTGGACTATTTTCACATCTTAATAAGTTCAGCATTCTTTCAGCTAGAAAAGCCATTCAGGTATCAAAATGTTCAACTCTTCAAGGCCATTCCTACTTTATTGCATCTCATCCTTCAGATTATTCAACAAAGAACTTAAGCCATTTCTTCTCATCTTTCAGCTGTTTCAGCAATTGATTTTGGACATTTTCATGACAATCTTTCAGCTTATGAGCATTCACATGCATTTACAACAGGAAATGCATCTCTCTAGTTAGAATCAGAATCAGCTTTTGGACTTTGAAATTTGAGAATTTCATTTCAAGACGCTCATTTTCAGACAATCTCGTCAGGTAACAATATCTTTGTGAAACAGACATTAGCCTGGGTTGTTCACATAGGCCCTGTTCAGACCTGGCATTAACATGCGTCCTGGGAAATCTGAACACAAGTGGCCAGCTAAAAGAGTATGTGTTCACACATGGCATCGGACCTCCCCTGCGCTATATACAGATAAACATGTATATCATTTCTGCTAGCAAACACCAAATACATTTTTATTTTCAACTGCCAGGGGCAACAGCCAGAAATAGGTTGAAGAAGATTCACCAACAAAGCCTGATCGAGGCTTTGTTGAAGCTTCGACACAGTATTCAAAAAATGGTTCTTTACTTGAGGCTTCAATGACAGTGCTCGAGTAGGACATTCAGTGGTCAATGAAGTGCAACTGAGATGTATCACTTATTGGTTCATAGATTGTTTGTTTGGGATTTGATTCCCCATGCACATTCCTGTTCGACTACACAACATGGTTGTATGGTTTCAAGCTGACACAATAAAATATGAAATAAGCCTGGACTCATGTTGAAGACCATGTTTCTTATTTGGCACATTTGAGTGTAGCCTTATATGCTCTTCGCTTATATTTTGTGTTATGAAACATTTAAATGGTGGTGCTACATTCATGAGATGTGCTCTACAAATTCAGACAGGTGTCATTTTCACATGGGACTGGTGCAAATACAGATTATATTATGGACTTTGGCAAAGTTTGTTTTGGGGTTCATTGGTAAAGAGGTTCATGGGTATGTGGATAAAGAGGGTGTGCTTGAAGAATAGAGCAGTGGATGTGCTTGTGTAACTGTTTATGAGTTTTTATTGAGAAATAACAGTATGTCCACAGTTTTTGGACACAAGCAGTTTCTCCTTTTACGGACTATTTCCCCAGCCTTGGAAAAAACCACATGGCACAGATGAGGCTGGGGTACACAGGAAATGTGGCCAGCAATACATAAATTATCATGGTTGTGTACAGTTAATCTGTTTTGCAAAGTATTTTTTGCTATTTCCTACAGGTATTAACTTACAGTAGTTACTGTTTTTGTACCACATAGATTTTATCACATTTGCTAAAAATTTTTTCCTACTTTTAATATAGATCATCATACATGTACATTTCCCCCCATTTTTCTTTATGAAATTTTCTTTAATCAGCCGTTATTTGCCTGTGATCTGAAGGTGCTTACCAGTGTACAGCGGGTACAGAAAGTATTCAGACCCCCTTAAATTTTTCACTCTTTGTTATATTGCAGCCATATGCTAAAATCATTTAAGTTCATTTTTTCCTCATTAATGCACCCCATATTGACAGAAAAACACAGAATTTTTGACATTTTTGCAGATTTATTAAAAAAGAAAAACTGAAATATCACATGGTCATAAGTATTCAGACCCTTTGCTGTGACACTCATATATTTAACTTAGGTGCTGTCCATTCCTTCTGATCATCCCTGAGATGGTTCTACACCTTCATTTGATGCAACCCTGTTTCGAACCCGGGGCACAGCGGCAAGAGTGTTGCACCTTAACCATTAGCCTACCAGATGGTGCTGATATCATTATTAGTTTGAAAGTTATTCACTCGCTGGTTTTGGGGTAGAACAGGGACATCAGTGAATGGACCATGGGCAAAGCAGTGAAGAGACTGACAATGAAAAATACAGTGGAAATGCAAAGCAGGGCATTCCATGTCAACCTGTAAGGTTATGCTGGGTGATGGTTAAGGGAAGCACAAGGTGTACTGCTCATTAGGTTCTGACCGTGGAAAAGAAGCGCCCAATTTTTCAGTTTTTTATTTGTTAAAAAAGTTTGAAATATCCAATAAATTTCGTTCCACTTCATGATTGTGTCCCACTTGTTGTTGATTCTTCACAAAAAATTACAGTTTTATATCTTTATGTTTGAAGCCTGAAATGTGGCAAAAGGTCGCAAAGTTCAAGGGGGCCGAATACTTTCGCAAGGCACTGTACAGTGGGTACGGAAAGTATTCAGACCCCCTTAAATTTTTCACTCTTTGTTATATTGCAGCCATATGCTACAATCATTTAAGTTCATTTTTTTCCTCATTAATGTACACACAGCACCCCATATTGACAGAAAAACACAGAATTTTTGACATTTTTGCAGATTTATTAAAAAAGAAAAACTGAAATATCACATGGTCATAAGTATTCAGACCCTTTGCTGTGACACTCATATATTTAACTTAGGTGCTGTCCATTCCTTCTGATCATCCCTGAGATGGTTCTACACCTTCATTTGATGCAACCCTGTTTCGAACCCGGGGCACAGCGGCAAGAGTGTTGCACCTTAACCATTAGCCTACCAGATGGTGCTGATATCATTATTAGTTTGAAAGTTATTCACTCGCTGGTTTTGGGGTAGAACAGGGACATCAGTGAATGGACCATGGGCAAAGCAGTGAAGAGACTGACAATGAAAAATACAGTGGAAATGCAAAGCAGGGCATTCCATGTCAACCTGTAAGGTTATGCTGGGTGATGGTTAAGGGAAGCACAAGTTGTACTGCTCATTAGGTTCTGACCGTGGAAAAGAAGCTATAATGTGCAGTTGGAACACCGGTGTCTTTGCCCACAGACTCTGTTGTCATTTGGTAAAACAAATTTTCAAATTTGCATTACTTGAATAAACTAAGCACATATTCTCAATCTACATGGTTACTTTGTTGCCTGAAAGTGTCAAAGCTTTATAAAATGGCATAATGCCAGTCCTACAGATGAAAATGATAACACTTTTGAGCCTGGCTCCAAATGTCTGCCATCAGGTTCTTGTCCAGCTGTTGCTACACAGAATAGATCTTTCCCCAGCTCTGGGCCTTTGACTTGCTGGACTCCTTCAGTCCCTGTCTTGCACAACAGCATGTACTGAGCAACAGCACCCGGTTTCCATTGACAATGAATGTGCAGCTGTCACTAGTCCAGGAGATTGTCTCCATATGTGGTCAAAGTACTCAGTAGCATAGCCATGCACTTTGGACACGATGGGGCTGACGTGCATTCAGCAGCCATTCCAGCAGTCACGATGGTGATTTTTTTTTTTAAATTCTTGTATCCAAATTCTGATATGGATCAGCAACAAAATCTAATCAATTGTTCAGTGGGCCATACCCTACCTCTCCAAAAAAAAAAAAAAAAAAAATCATCAATCATTACTTTTTGAGTTTTGAGGTTAACAATCAAACAAACCAACAAATGCAGGCAAAAACTTAACCCTCTCCTTTGCGGAGGTAATAACTGCTACATTAATAATAAGTGCTACATTATTTTAGATCACAGTGTCGTTATCAGGCTAAAACAAAAAGGTCAGAAGGTCTAACTGAAATTTTGTCATCAAATATTATTATAGAATAAATATGACAATCTAGAACATAACTGAGTACATACTGTATGTATAGATGGTACTTATCTGTATAAAATGTGTTTGTGTTAGGTGGGTAAATTGCGTAGAGATGTAGACAAGATGAAAGCATCAGACACAATTAACATGAAGACTGTCAAAGAGAAACTGCGCTACCTGAAGAACAGTGCTGAGTCATGCAAGTCAATCCCCAAAGACTTTAGAGGTAAGTGCGTGTGTGTGCGAGAGAGAGAGAGAGAGAGATGACATTTCAGCACTATGAGGTTCCAGGTTAGATCAGGGTAAGGGGCTAGAGAATGTATTATGTCAACGAGTGTCTTAACTCTTAGAGACAGACGAGACATTGGTTCTCAGAACAGTGTCTTATTGTAAGAATCTTGCACACCTTGATGGTATCAACTCTAAGATTCAGTTTAGCAAGACTTACTCAATTAGCACATGTATATTATAAAATGAACAGATCTTTGGCGGGTAAGAAAAGGAAAGGTGATGGTGCTCATCAAGCAAACATGCCATTTGAAGCTTAAGTCAAGAAAACAGGAAGAAGCCTTTGATACAACTTTAAATCTATATATTATAATCATGTTTCTGTAGATATTTGTTATCAAAATATCTTTAAATGTGGTCAAATGTAAGAAAATACTTTTGTACCCTAACAATAAGAAAAAATGCTCCATCAGCATGGTTCTTCATCCCATCTGGACAAATGTCATGTTCTGCCACCGATTTCCTGCTGGAGACTTTTATTTTGAAAGGAACTTCCTGGTTTTCACAATTTCACTCTCCCCAGCTTCACTGATGTCAGTCAGTGTCGGATTCAGATCACCTGGATGATTCAAATCACCTCGTGCTTGTCTCCCCCTACATACAGTATACTGCCTTGTTTCTTGTCTTCAGCTGCCTGTTTATCATTCAGCACTGTACATTCCTGTCATCACTTATCACTGGACCTGCATTCTGACTGTTTAATCTTTGTCACCAAACCTGTTACCTGTCTGCCCGGATCCACAAGTGCCACTTTGGCTGCATGAAGTGTCATCCTGCCATTTTCTGTTGCCTGTTCTCTAGACCTGACCCCTGCCTACCTGCAATCTGATCTATACCCTGCCTGACCCTGACTCTCAGGCTGCCTAGCAGCTTGCCACTTGCCGAGCTGCAGTGTTTGTTCAGCCATCTGTTCAACGGACAGGTGTTTCTTGCTATATGTCTGAATGTCATGAGTAATAACTGCAATCATTGCACTTATGACTTCAGGAATGCTCTGAACTGTAAGTCAGAGAGAAGCCGAGAACAGTTTGAGGCAGAGAAGTGCAGACTTGAGACGCCGGTGATAGTGTTGTGCACATACTGTATTAGATCATCAAAATGTAGCACTTAGTTCCAGACTTCCAGCTCACCCTTTCTACACAGAGCACATCTCCCCTCTTTTTTGCTTCTGGTACTACTTCCCAAGGCGGTCCGGAGGTGGAACGAGAATGGGCCACCATTCTGGCTTTGCGCCTTAAACATAGAAAACAAGATGGAATAAAGGCGTACTGATCTCGCTTCCAAAAGGCAGCATGTAAGGGGCTAGTCTTACTTGCACACAACAGCCATCTTTCATGTTTGCAGCTCTGCCCCCATCTGTAATTCACTAATAAAACTCTTTTCCCCTTTCAATGCCTGTTGATTCTGCATTTGAGTCCATGTTTCTGGGGGGAATCCTGACAATGTGGTCATTCAGGCAAAATAATCTCTTTTCCCCCCTAAAATACAGATCAGAGAGGAGTTGCTAAACACGCTACAGGGAAGGCTCATTGTGAAAAAATAACTTCCACCTGTGTTTTGGTTAAAATACACTTAAAATTCTTCTTTCAAGATGATTGAAAATCAAAGACAAGGCACTGAAGCACAGTATTCTGTGGAAATTGTGCAAATATACTGTATATTATTAAACACATTTCCACCTAATCGGTTACTTTATTATTAATTACCAATGACATATTTTACACATATCTATTTAAGCTTTTGGTAACATTACAGTACGCATTTCAAGTATAGGGTTATATGGTCACTCATTGCTCATTTGTTCAACATTCACTCCCTGCTAACTATGGACATTTTTGTGTATCATATTTTAAAGTATTACCAAACTTCTCAAACCACAACTGTGCCCTTGGGCAGAAAGACCTTAAGACAGTAATACTCTAGACTGTATTGTAGATCACCTGATTTTCAAATGCTTTTCTGTTTCCAGGTCAGGAAGGGTACTGCCTCAAGGGCCTGATCCGCAACATCAGTGAACCTATCGTGACTAAGGTCAGCCCCTATGGTAAGACCTACATCTCTGGCTCATGGGGCAAACAAGCCCAGATGAACAGCGAGGGGCAGAAGTCCAGCTACTGGGTTCAAGGTCTGTTCAACAATCATGCCTGGGGGAACACTGTGCGTGTATACCAAACCTATGAAGACTTCATGGCCTCAGTCAACCACAAGGACTTTACCTTTGCTCCATCCTACACTGCTGCCAGTGCCATCGAGGGTCCCAGTGCTGTCCTCTATGGTGAAGCGCTCTACTATCACTGCTACCGCTCTCCAGATGTCTGCCGCTATGACCTCAACACCAACATTGTCAAACGGGTGACTCTTCCAGGCACTGAAGTCGGTTTCAACAACAAGTTCCAGTATTGTTATTATGACTGCCGTCCCTATAGTGATATCGACGTGGAGGCAGATGAAACAGGACTATGGGCCCTCTATACCACTGTTGGTAACCATGGTAATCTAGTGGTGAGTCGGCTAATTTGGGACAGTGAGGCTGAGATGCTCAATGTCTCACAGACTTGGGAGACAAGGCTATTTAAGAAGGCGGTTAGCAATGCTTTCATAGTGTGTGGTGTGCTGTATGCTACTCGATATGTAAATGAATACTATGAGGAGGTGTTCTATGCCTTTGACACAGCAACAGGCAGAGAGGACAACTCACTAGACCCCCACGGGAGAAGGTAGCCAGAGGAGTGGCTAGTCTGAGCTACAACCCCACCAACAAGCAGATCTATATGTTCAACGATGGGTATCTGCTGGCCTACCAGGCTCACTTCTGATCTGAAGCTGTTGTAATTGGGTAGCAATTGCTATTTCCATATTAGCTACAGAGCATATAAGAATACTGCTTCTGTCAATCAAGGTGTGAAGTCTAGAATGATTTATGGCTTTTTAATGATTTATGGCTAACTCCTGCTAACAGCAAAGTGCACTCTGGCTAACTGATGTCTCATGAAAACCATAGTTATTAGCTATTAGTTACCAAGTTAAAGTCTGACTTATAGCAGTTGACAGTTATTTTTCCTTTCCATATTTGTGACTAAATCCCAGAATAACTATCTTCCACCATCGCTAACAATCGACTATTTGGTCATTCATTCATCAAAGCATTCACAAATGTACTGTTTGAATCGTGTCTTTCCTG